GTATGTGTGTGAACATAAAAACAAAACATATCGTCATTCACCAATTTTTACATCTGTGGTTCATTGACAGTGGTTACATACTTCACATTGTGCCACCATTCTCCTTATCCTTGTCCATGTTTTCACCACTATAGTTAACTTAGACTCTCTGCTCCTTAAAGCTCTCATCTGTGTTTTAGAGTGAGTTGTCCCTTTAATCACATGTAGGTAATTCTTTAAAACAGCATAATATTCAAGGTGAACATTCTTTATTAAAGGAGCTTAATTATTGTTTAGTTTAAAGGTGACTTCATGGGATAGTTTCAGTTCAAGGCTTAAAAGTTGTTTTCAGGCAATAGATTCAGGGGTTTCTCCAATCTCAATGTGGCTGGTATATGTAGATATAGACAGAACTAGTAAATAGAACAACAACAACAAAAAAATTAAATGTCATCCAGAATGATACCAGTACACCATTCTGAGTATATACTATATTTAGTATCATGCAATGTCAGGAATTATTACATTTTATACGTAATTATATTTTTCATGGCAAATTGGTTCTTTTTTAATCAAATGCTATCACCTTTCTTGTGTTAAAGTTATATTTAATTTATACATATCAAGGACTGTCAAGAGAAACTTAAATCAGCTGGCTTTTCTTGATTGCATATTATTGCTTTTCATATATTTGGAAAAAAATTAAGTAGTAGAAAGTACCATAACACCTTTTGGGCATGTAGATTGGCGTCATTTTCGTCTTTACCTATGTGAATTAAAAACAAAAGGCATACACCAATTAAGTGTATATCTAACATAGAAGTTAAATAGGACAATATAATTATTTAATGTCTATCCATTCATGAATCCACCTAACATTTATTAGGCATCATATTTGGTGTGAGGCACTGAGTATTCTGAGATAATTAAAACATATCCCTGCCCCTAGTAATATTCTACCTGGAAGTTTATAGTAAAAAACAAAACAAAACAAAACAAACGGAGGAGGGAAAAAAGACTTTTTATTTAGAAGTTTAATTTTGGGACAAATATGTTTAAATCCTCTGCAAGCCAGCCACATCTTCATTCCTCAGTGACCTTGGCAGCTTTTCAGAGGTCACACTTTCCACATTGGTGAGCTGTCCTTGAACCATGTATTTAAATGATTAGGCTCATGGGCTTTATCTGAACATCAGATGCTCAAGTCATCATTTTTCCAATGTGTTTCATCCTGTGAACATAATTCTAAGTTAATTCAATACAGTATTGGTGATTTAGTGGTAGAATTCTCACCTTCCATGCAGGACACCTGGGTTTGATTCCCAGACAATGTATCTCATGCGCAGCCACCACTCGTCTGTCAGTGGAGGCTTGCAATGCTTTATGATGCTGAACAGGTTTCAATGGAGCTTCCAGACTAAAACAGACTAGGAAGAAAGGCCTGGTGATCTACTTCTGAAAATCAGCTGATGAAAACCCTATGGATCACAATGGTCCAGTCTGCAACCGATCATGGGGATGATGCAAGACCAGGCAGCATTTTATTCCATTGTGCGTGGGGTTGCCATGAGTTGGGGACCAAGTCGACAGCAACTAACAACAATGACAGCAACATCCTTTTATTCGTTTATTTCCCTTCTTGTCCCTTTTGGCAAATCCCAAAAGGCGGTGAGAATATAGATACTTGTTCCACTTTTCTGAGGAAACAGAAAAGCTCCTGTTCAGAGGCATGCTAGTGTTGTCGGGTGTTGTCTCATACAGGACAACGGAAAAGTCAGAGTGAGAATTGGCCACACGTGCCGTTGGGGTGTGGCATTTGCTCAGCCACTCTCAGAGCTAATGGCAGTCTGAAAACCGAGCCTTCCGTAGCACTTGACTTTTTCCCCTACCTGATTTATATGTATATGTTTCACAAGTTATCAATTGCGCAGTAAAAAATGCCAACGATGCACAGAGTAAAAACTTCAAAGACACACCACTATCAACCTAGTTTCTTTTCTTTCAAAGCCAAAGAGTTTATTTCACACAATTGTGTTTGTTTGTGTGTCTGTATGTACACGTCTTTAATATCCAGTTACACATTAAATGTGACAATAGTATGTTTCCATTTTTGTAAATTGCAATGCATTAGAAAACAGTGCAGAGCAGTAATCTGTCAGAATGTTAGCAGTGATCCCTAGGGTGGCATTATTAAGTGTGGGATGGGGTGGGGTGGGGAGGGGAGTGTAGTACTTTTTCAGTAGCCAAGTCAGTATTATCTGAACCTTTTGTGTATAAGAGCATATGATCTTACTTTTCAGAACAAAAAGTCTTGCTTTAATTGAGGCATATTTTCAAGCGGTCTTCTGAATGTGTAAATGTGTACTTGCCTGTGAGTTTCTTTAGAGTTGGGTGTGACTGGTTGTCATTCTCAGGCCTGAGTGAGCTCTCATCTGTCCTTCCTTCGAAACAGTGACACTTAGTTGAACTAAAAATGAATTCTTAGAGGAGAGTAGTTTTCTGTTCAGGCCTTGGATCTTACACAGTTAAACAAGTTAACCAAAAAAAATGAGGCAGGCAGCAAACATCGTGTTAAATGATGTAAATTTAATTTCCAGTTGTACCTTCTTCTCCTGAATGCATATTATTTTGTTTTCTTTTGTATTATTATTATTTAAAACACTCTTGCTTAACCCAGGTAGCACGGTGTAATAAGCATTTGCGGTTCTTAATTTTGTATCCTGACTAAGTAGGTGAGGCTCCTGGTTCCCAAATTAAATAATCACACAAAATAACGTATGAGGGCTAGGAATTTGTCATATAGCATTCCTTGAGAGCAGCTTGATAGAATATTCATAGTGAATTTTAAAACTTAATACTCATAGACGTCAGTTGTTATTGTATTAGGATATTTGGCTGGTAAATTTTATAACATTATTTATAAATACAGGATACGTGAAGGAAATAATAATGTTCAAAATAGAGGAATTGTTCAGTAAATTTTGGCATGTATAACTAAGGCTAAAACTGTACATAATGGACCATTACCCATCAGTAAGTAAGATTTTTGAAGACTGGTTGATAACATGAGAAACTTTTTACAAAATTATGTTAAGTATAAAGGAATGATACAGATCTTCATAGCGTTCAAAAGTTATCAATTGCACAGTAAAAACTTGCAACAGTATCCCTAACTTGTCAAAAGTGTGTGTGTGTGTGTATATAATATACAAAGTTCTGGGTGGTAGAATTATGGAAATTGTGTTTCTTTTCTATATTTTCTAAGTTTTCTACAACAAATACACGTTAACTTTTTTTAAATAATGAAATCAGTTTAATCTTAATAAAATTGTTAAAGGCAATAATATTATGGTTAGGTTTCCTTCATCTCTGTTCTTTTTTAAGCTAATGATAGAAATAGGTTTCTTCTAAAATGATTTTGTTCCCTCCCAGAATATCTGGGAATTCCAGTGCTGTTGAAGGCCTCTAGTTTCTAATATTCTCAGTAATCTAGAAAATTCTGTTTTTGTAGTATATCTATTTTATTCATTTAAAAAAATTGAGATTGAACTGGACAGGTAGTACAGTTTTTTTCCTTGGGTCCAGTGGAATTCTACCCTCTTAACTGCTTAGAGAGTATCCCTTTCTGTAGGTTTTATAAATCTCACTAAAGGCACCTTAGTTCTCATGCCGTTCTTTTCTTGTATGAGGGGCGTCTTTCAGGGCCTCCACAAACTGGTTGTCTGTAACTTTGGTGGTGGTTCTCAGATTTATTTTCTTATTTTTGGACAGAATAGCTTATGATTGTCTTCAAATTATACCAGATTTTTGAAAGTCATTCAAAAGCTGTAGGGAAACCTAATGGTCTCTGATAAGGTGTCGTTCTGTGTGTATGTGTGTTTACTGCTAATGCGCTTTAGTTTATGTGTTCGTAATATGCTCACTGTGGATGAACTGTAAGTCGGGGCAAGTGGCATTCGTACATATATGTATGCTTTATAAATTGAGTCTATAAAATATATGAATTAACATCCTGATGGTAATACAGAATACATGTTTCGTGTGTGTGTGCGTGCAAGGGTTCGTAGTTTACTGTGCTTGAAGTTCACAGTCAGGCAGAGCCAGTGGTGGAGTAAGTTACAAAATCGCCCTGCCCATGAAGGGAATGTGCCTGAGTACAAAACAGAACTCTGAATGTTAGTTTTACGTTTCTATTTGATGGAATCTAAGGTTATGGAAACGACTGTAAAAATAATTTGTCTGCAAGAAGCCTGGATGTGGAAATCTAATAGAGAAAATATTTGAGAATATGGTCCATCGGTGAGTGCAGCACACACAGCATTTCCACAAACACCACATGGCGCGGTCAAAGCATCCCCTGACCTGGACCTGTGTGGCCAGATCCTTTCGTATTGATTGGAGTCCCACTGGACGGTTAACCCCTTCGTGCTCATACGCAAGTGTTCCCTCACTTTTGACATCAATAATTCTAGGAATATCATCTTCCTACCACTATTAGCTTTCTTCCTAAATTATTTGATTGTACTGTTCTTTGCTGAATAAAATGAACTTGTGAAAAGATTAATAATATATCAGTTGGTAATATGAAAGCAGTTTCCAGGGAAAGGGAAGAGGAAAACAAAAACCCAATATTCTGGGTAGACAGTATAGCAAGAAAAATCTCAAAATCAAGTACAGATTGTATATTTTTTCATCGTGTAGATTAAATGATAAATTCTAGCTTTTTAAAGAAATCTGTCGCAGTCCAAGTAGAGCGCTTTGCATCTCACAAAAACCTGTCAAACCCTTTTTGTATGTTGCTGTCCACTCTAGCATCTGGCTCTGCACATTTTGGTACAGTTTAAGTCTTGCTCTTAAATGACAATGCAGAATTAATTAGTGAATTCCATGTGAAAAGATCTCAGATTCGTTGGTGTCCACATTTGGCCGTGTGGGCTTCGGTTGCCTGTTATGTCCTTGCCTGGTGGGATGGTTTTTGGCAGCAAATTCATCCTCTTGTCTTCTGTGTTTTTTTCTTTCAGTTTGTCCCACGAGGAGCACCCGCATAGCCATCCTCTCTATGGACATGGTGTGTGCAAGTGGCCAGGCTGTGAAGCAGTGTGTGAAGATTTCCCATCATTTCTAAAGTAAGAGTGGTGTCTGTTTGCTTTTCTTATGTAGACATCACCTCCCACCGTTCATGCTTTTGCTCATAAAATGCCTTTTTGATGGAGGGGTTTACATCTTTTTGAGAGTGGACTCTAAATCACAAGGTTGAGCACAGTGTGATAGCAACAAAATCTATTGAGGGTCATATTGTTCAGAGAGAAAGACTTAAATCCCAAGGCAGATTCCGTACGCTTAGAAAGAGCATGGAGTTACCCGTAGTTTTAGACTGGTAGTGATTTAAAAAAAATTTTTTTCCCAGTGTTAAACTTGTAATAATTTAGTTTTTACTTTATATCTGTTTCTTTGTCTGAAATCAAAGACATACTAACTCTATAAAGTTGATGTCTGATTTTGTAACAGTTACTGGCCCATTGCATCTTGGGGGATTGGGCCCCTTTGTTGTTATACAGGTAACGTTATAAACAGAAGAAATGCAAGACACATTGATTCTTTTCTTTTTGTACTGGTATTGACTTGTTCAAATTCTTGTCCTTATAGGGAGAATGGAGTTCAATTTAATTTCTACAGTTAGTTAAAGTATGACTAGAACTTAGGTTATCCCACTGGGATCTGTAACATTGAAACAGTATCCCTGTAGATAAATATGTTCGTCTTCTCATAGTTGGACCCAAATGCCTTTGTGCTGCATCTCAACATTTCCCTTACCTATGGTGCCTTGTCAGTTAAAAAAAAATCAGATTAAACTGCCGTGTATTTTTGACGTCACGTAAATATAGTCATAATACTGAATCATTGACCTATGGATTCAATGTAATATTTCATTATATTTTACATATATATAACATATATATGTCTGTATGTATGTAAAGCCTATGTAATAATCAAACACATGCATGTGTACAGCTTCTGTATATCTAGATGCCTGTTGGTTTACAGAGTAGAGGCGAGGGACCTTCTCCCCCTGGCTTTTGTCTCCTTCAAGCCCCAAGAGAGCAGAGGTGGGCTGATTTATGTGCAGGTCTCTGGTTGTGTGTGGTCTTTATATTGTTAGAACAAACTCTTATTTCTTTATGGACCTGGATACAAATATTGTAATAAAGCAACCCTTAGGGATGTGTCTAGTGTTATCTGCAAATGATTGTAGTAAATATAGCTTTCTGATTAATGAATGGAAGCCTCTGAATCTATTTCATAGCTTTCTAGCTTCAGTATTTTACTTCAAGCATTATATGATCATTGAAAACAAATACTGAAGATTGTTTTAAAGGAGATGTCTAAAATGGTTTTTAAATAACAACAATCAAGCACAGTGATTTTATTTTATTTTGTTTATGCAACAGTCCTTTTGATTACCTGATTCAGATTAGTAATTCACATTTTCTCTTTATAAATCACTCATTATAGAATCTTGGTTTTGTTATTTCCTGATCGTATTTATATAATGAGAGAAAAAAAAAACTTGGCGGAAATCACTTTTAAGTTCTGATTTCACCTTCTGCACCAGTGCTGGGTTTGATAAATATCACAGTGCCCATTCCCTCACATGTAGACTGGCCAATGAACATCTGTAAATATGGGTTACTTTTGTAAAGTCCCTAGTCCTGTAAAGTTGCTATCAACACTGTCTATAATGTGTCCGTTTTAGAGACTGAACGAAAAAGGCTAATTTGATCCATTTTGTTAATTCAGGCTTTTGAATGACTAAAGTATTCTACCGTAATCTCAATTCATAGATCAGTTTATTATGTGGGCTGATAGGTAAGAGAGAGAGAGATAGGGAGAGAGATAATCCATACGCGTATATATATGTATATACATATATGTATATATATTTTTTTTTGGTGGGGTAAGTATATCTCAGCAAGGACAGAGCAAAATTTCAAACCACTTGTAGTACTAAAGAAAATAATCTGTTTTTAAAAGATTATTAGAATTGAGACCTAGAGTTGATGCCTGTAAGAAACATAACATCTGTTCTAAGAATATGAGGTGTCTGGCTCTTGGATAGGAAACCACCTATCAGTTATTTATTGTGGTTTGCACATGACATGACACGTTCTCAGTCTCAGTCATGTTCGCTCAGTGGAATTTGAATGCCCACTACAGACCTGCCACTGTTGCTTGGTTATTTCCTAGTACTTATTTATTGACTTGTATTTCCCAGATATAGAAACCCAACTTAAATTGGCTTAAGCAAAAGAAAAAATAGTTGGGAGGTGATACTGGCTCCTGTTACTAGGATATCCAGTGGTGCAGCTAGCTTCAGGCGCGGCTAGGTCTAGATACTTAGACAAGTTCATTGAGTATTGAATCTTTGTCTCTTAGCTGTATTTTCCTCTGGGTTGGGTTCATTCTTGGGCTTTACCATTAGAACTGGAGGAGGACAGACTTACGTGCCACTGGTGTAACAATCTCAGAGTTGCATCTCTTTCCCAGTAGTTCTGGGAAATGTCCTGGGCAGACTCTCATTAACCCAGAATGAGTCATGTGGTCTAGCTTTGAGCCAATCACGATGATGTAGCCAGGCTTGCATCACATGCCCATCTCCAGAGCAGAGGGAAATGTTCACCACACATGAACCACATAGGGGCTAGGGATGAGAAACTTGGCTCTAGAAAGTAAAAATGAGCATTGTTATCAGAGAAAGGGAGAGTGAGTGCTAAGTAAGAAAATACTCACTTTTCTGAGTTGTATGCATTTATTGGTCTGTATATGACAAATTCAGAATTTTATTTTCCTCTCTAGAGTGGTTGTAGCTACTGGAAATTCATAGTTGTCTTCAAGTTTCAGGGCCTTGTCTAATGTAGTGGAAAATAAGTTAGTCATCTTGCATATTCATATTTTCTGTATCTCTGCACAGTCGAAAGAGAAATGAAATAATTGACTTTAATGAAACCAACTTTGTTTTCCATTGAACTGGATGGAGAAGCTACTTTTTTGTGGCTGAAACAACAACTATGTGGCCTCTTTGAACAGTGGCATCTTGGGGTCATTGTCATCCAGAAGTAATGTTTCAAGTGTTTCTTCTCTAATTGCCAGACACTGAAACTATCTCTTTCCTGGGTCCACTCTTCTCTTCAGTCATCCCCCAATAAAGATGTTTTCTTGATGGTTTAAGTAAATCGATAAACAGTAGTGCTTGGATTCTCCGTGGCATTCTTACTCAACAGAATGTAGCAGTGCTTTGACCTTGATTTAGGTGTTGCTTTATAGATTTTTTTCCACCTATTTTGTAATCCCCTAATCCCACACTCCCTTGTATGTTATATTTTAACAGCCCTGAGCCGAATGCCAGGGACTGTTCCAAGTGCTTTACATATATTAACTCATTGAATCCTCAGAACAACCTTATACTGATAATCTTGTAGTGTTACTCTCACCATGTAGATAAGGACACAAGGCACAGAGAGGTTAAGTGAGTTAGCCAGGGTCACATAGCATATAGAGGTGGAGCCAGGGCCCAAACCCAGATGGTCTGGTTTCGGAGTACTTGTTCTTAACTACTGCACTATTCTACCTGGCCAGAGTCAGTGTATTTTATTAACTGTTTGCTGTCTACTTAAGGCAGTGAGGTATAAAAAGAACTTTAGAGGAAGGCAGATTGGGTCAGGAAGCCACTCACCATTAGTGTGTTTTTTGCAGCACGTTTCAGGTGCTACGTAGCTTCTCCGAGCCTCAGTATCACCAGCTGTAATATGGGGTACTAATAATAACTACCTCTTAAGGTTGTTAGAATTAAAAAAGTACAGCACATGAAGTGCCTAGCCCATACTAGGCACTTACTAAAATTATTAGTGTTTCTTTTCTAATCTACTTAAGTATACTTTAAAAAGAGGGACAGTTTTGAATATCCAAAATTTCCAGAATTTACCTAGGGGAAGGGATTGCGCCTAAGCAAAGCTTTGATCTTTCAGAAGAGATTGTTCTTTAATATAATTTTTAAACCATAAATTTCTGGCAAAAGTCTGCTCAATCAAATGTGACTTAGGGCAGGGGGCCCCAGACTTTTTCTGTAAAGGGCCAAACCAAAAAAACCAAACCCATTGCCGTCAAGTCAATTCTGACTCATAGTGATGGTATAGAACAGAGTCGAACTGCCCCATAGGGTTTCCAAGGAGTGGCTGGTGGATTCGAACTGCCGACCTTTTGGTTAGCAGCCGAACTCTTAACCGCTGCACCACCAGGGTTTCCTGTAAAGGGCCAGATGGTAAATATTTTAGGCTTTGCAGGCCTTACTGACTCAATCACAACTACTCAGCTCTGTCATTGGAACACAAAAGCAGCCATAGACCATGCTACAGAAATGGGCATGGCCATGACCTTGGACCCCAGTTTACTGACCTCTCACCTAGGGTAATTTTTGGTGTCACCATATTTTTTTAGCCAAGAAACATTTTTGCAGTCACTAGGCATTGCTATCCTGGGTTATTTTTGCTTCGATTCCCAGAGACCTCAGGTTTATTCATATTTTGGGGAAATACCCACATCTTTGGGTGGTGCAAGCAGTTAACATGCTTAGCTGCTAACCGAAAGGTTGTAAGTTCAAGTCTACCCAGAGGCACCACAGAAGAAGGGCCTGGCAATCTACTTCCAAAACAGCAGCCATTGAAAACCGCGTGGAACACAGTTCTACTCTGACACACATGGGGTCGTCATGAGTCAGAATCTATTGGAAGGCAAGTGGTTAGTGGTTTTCTGTGTCCCTGGGGATGTCCTATGGTATCATTCACCAGCTGCAGTCTTTATTCTTAATTGAGCTTGGAGTCTTGCACCTGGCTCTTAGTGTTCATTATGGTGGGTCAGGGGAGGGACTTTGCCTGGTAACTCTTCCAGTCTTCAATTCCTCAAGCTGGTAAGATGTACCTCTTAGGCTAAGGTTGGTATTCAGGATAAAAATCCCATCCGACAATAATAAAGTGCCACTGTTAGCAGAGAGCGACTGAGAAAAGGGAAGAAAAGGTCTCAAAATGAGGCAGATGATTTTTCCACTCCTGAGGAAGAAATATCATAACTGTTG